GCGCCCTCCTGCCGGCCCTGGCCTGGCCCCCAGCATCATGTTCTGGCCTCGTTCCAGAGGGAAGGGCTCTCATCCACGTAGAACACCACCTGGAGCCCCCACCACCTCTTCTCTCCCCTACTTCCCACCTGCAGGCAGTCCCGTGGCTTCTGCCCGCGATATGCCGCCTTCTGTGCCCCATTCCCAGCCCACAGTGTTTCCAACTGTTCTTGCCGATCCCCTTGCCTCCACTCTGTTCACCCTGCTCTGGGGTGACGTTCCCCGGATCCAACTGGGTCAGCTCCCAGGGCCTGGCCTGGGCTCCAGCGCACCTGCAGCCCTGGCCCCACTCCCAGATACAGTCTGGGACCCCCAGGGTGGGTTTTCAGGAAGATGCCACACATCCTCACCTTTGGGCCTGCCCTGTGAACCCCTCCCCCCACCCAGGCCCAGCCTCCCTGCTTTGATCCTGACACGCAGCTCTAGCATAGCCCTGCCTGCTCCTCTGCCTGGCTCACTGATCCTCCTGTGAGCACTTGTCACTTCTCCACTGAGGCCCACTTCCCCGGGGTCCTCCTCAGCTCTGGCTCCGGTTCTGGCTGCAGCAGCAGGCCAGCCCAGGGCTCTCTCCGGGTTCCGGACAGGAGCCCCAGATGCAGACCCTGCTCCCAAGTAAATGCTCATCCCTCAGCCTCCTACCTGGACACCTGACTCCTATTTTGGCTGCTATGGGTGGGAACCCAGAGCCCGCTGGCACCTTCTAGAAGAGGCAGAGGCACATAACCATGGTCCTTCTCCGGAGTCCCTGAACACAGTGTGTGACCTCCACGGAGTTGTCCATGGAGAGAGGGGACACGGCCCGGCCAGCGTGGCTCAGTGGTTGAGCATCGACCTATGACCCAGGAGGTCTGGGTTCGATTCCCAGTCAGGGTGCATGCCTGGATTGTGGGCTCAATCTCCAGTAGGGGGTGTGCAGGAGGCAGCTAACTGATGATTCTTTCTCATCATTGATGTTTCTATCTCTCCCTCTCCCTTCCTCTCTGAAATCAGTAAAAATATTTTTAAAAAGGAGAGGGGACACACTTGGGCCCCCAAGCTCCCTCCTAACAGGAGGAGGCCGTGTTGGTGGGATATTCCCCATATCCACGGGTGTGGTGCCCGGGCAGGGGTGGATGAGGGCCCGTGTGTGAGGTGTGCAGGTGTCACAGGGGGAGGTGGGAGGACTGCAGGAGGGACATGTGTACTCCACTGAGGACCCCCGCGAGGCCCCTTCAGACCTGCAGTGTGAGCTGCTGGCCAGGAGGGAGGGCGGCACTCTGAGCCCAGCCTCACGGCTGCCTGGCCCTCTCTGTTGACTGCCTCAGGGGAAGACAGAAGGCCTGGCAGGACCACGACTTTGAGATGCAGCCTCGCGGAGCTCCAGGGCCTGGACTCTCCTTCTCCCAAGGCCACCTGCTGGGGCGCCCGGCCCACCCCTCAAGGCTCCCTGGAGGGGCGTCTCCTCTCATCCCTGTCCTCAGGAAGACCGTCCGCCTGGATGCCTTCTCGCCAAGCTACATCCCACAGGCTCCCGGCCGGCCAGGTCTCAGAGCCGGGGCCCGGAGCGTGCTCCCGCAGGAGACGGACAGCAGCCTCGTGCCCAGGAAGCTCAGCTCCATCTCCTTAACGCTCCGGCCCAACAGCCAGGCCTGGGAGGAGGTGCCCACCCTGGGCAGGGAGGCTGCTGCCCATGGAAGAGGGAGGCTGCCCACTCCAGACTCACCATCTCTGATCCTAGTGCCAGGGGGCAGGGTTCACTCTGAGGGCCCGGGGAACCCCGGTCTGGCCAAACCCAGCAGGATGCCCGTGGTGAAGCCGCTGGTGAGTTCCCACCTGGCCCTACCTTTCCAACCCCGGCCGGCCCAGGACCCACCAGGCCCTGCAGGCCCAGGTCCAGCGGGTCAGAGGCACCCTGGCCCAGCGGCTGCCCAAGTGCCTGCCAGAGCTTCCTCAGGAAGAGGCAGGCCCAGGTCCAGAGGTACCCTGAGACCCCGGCTGCATCTCCAAAGGGCCATCCCTACCGTGGCGTCGGCAATGGCGATGGATTTGGCGACCCTGGACACAATGAGAAGCACAGGCAGACATTTAGCCAATATGGCCACCAACAGACCCCGCTTGGCTGTCAACTCAGCCACAGCGAACACACCCAGACTGAACAGAGGCACAGAGTCCCCTGCTCTGGATGCCAAACTGGGCACAGCCACAGAATTGGCCACAGCAGGCACAGCCAAGCAGGGCCTGGCCACGGACCTGGCAATGCCAGACCCAGACAAGCTGGGCAAAGCCCTAGCCACAGAAGGCACAGCCAAGCCATATACAGCTACCGGGGCCACAGCCGAGGATGTGGCAGCCCCAGACCCGGTCAAGTTGGGCACAGCCAGGCCAGACAGAGTCCTGGCTTTGGACAGAGCCGATCCAGCCAAGCGGGACATAACTGCGGGGTCTCCTGCTTTGCACAAGAGCAGGCTGGGCATAGGCATGGGTTCGGCTGTGCCGGCCACCCTAAACCCGGCCATCGGAGAGACCACACCCGACAGGGCCATTAACCTGACCACGTCGGACACTGCCACCTGCCCATCGATGTCAAGCAGAAGCACAGACTCAGCCCTGGACCAGTCCACAGCAGATGCGGCCAGAGACCTGGCCAGGAAAACCACAGGTAAATGCAAAGGACTTGGCTGGGATACACTGGGCTACTGGGGGTGGGGAGGGAGGGGAGCGGGGAGGGCTGGGAGATAGCTTACACTTGGGTAGGTGGGAAAGGGGGGTGGACTCTAAGGTCAGAGTCAAGTACACTGCGGGGGCGGGGGGCGGGCAGGGTTGCGGGGCAGACCACAGGGGATGCGCCAGGAGCCGGGGCCCACCCTGCCAGTCAGAATCAGGCTGAGGGGAGTCACCAGAAGGGAGGTTTGCGGGGTAACTTGTGGAGGACCCATTGTGCCGAGTCCTTCCTTTAGCATGTTCCGCGGTGGTGTGGGTGCTCCCTGAAGCGGAGTAATCAGGTGACTTATAGGTGAGCGCAGCTCTGGAGCGAGCCACCTACACAAAATCACCGCCCAGCGCTTCAGCAAGTGGCGATTGTCTGACAGTCCTCCCTGCCACGTTCCTCCAGATGTGAACAGGGACCTCCCCTGAGGCCTCTCGGTCACTGGGGGTCAGCCTTTCAGGCAGAGATCTGTTGCTTAAAGGTGCCTCACCTGGAATTCTCCCTTCCCTTTCGTCCTGAAACGTGCACATATGCAAGTCCTACACAGAACTGTAGTAGGCCAACACGAGCAGGAGACCTCCGTCTGGTCTCAGAGAGGCTGTGACAAGCTTACAGTCATGTAGTGGCTGGTGGCAGTGAGTTAAGGGGGAACCCAGATCTTGGAATTCTGCTGTGGGCCATCTCATTCCCAACATTCCCAAGGCTCAGGGAGTCTGGATCTGGCGGATGCTGGGGAGGCACCCGTCCAACACCCTCCCTGGGGCTTCGGGTGCCAGACCCCGTCCATCACACTGCACACTTGGTCTGGGGGAGCTCACCCAGCCTCAGTCTCCAGCCTCCCTCCGCCCTCAGCCTCGCCCTCTCCCCTGAAGTGCAGGCAGCCAGGGCCTGCTGGACCCCTCTAGTCAGACGTCTCCCCGCCATGTCCAGAGGCAACCTTTTCTCCCAGAGCTACCTCCTGCCCTACCTGTCCCCCTCTCTTGCTCCCACCCAGAAACCGGGGAGTCCTCCTCCCGCCCACCCAGTCTATTTCCAGCTGTGGATCTACCTCCCCGCTGTCTGCCCCTCCTCTCCCTCTGTGTCTGTCCCGCCCCCAGGGCGCTCCCTCCTCCTCACAGCTGCCACACGGACTCATGTGATGGCAGCGCTCACAGCCTAACAGCTGTGACTCACCATCATCTCCCCTTAGAGTCCAGCTCCTTAACCTGGCTTCCCAGGCTCCGAGCTTCCCCGGCCTCTTAGCTCCATATTCCTGTCTGGGAGTTTCCCTGCGTCGCTGCACCTGGGAGCACTGAGCACTGAGCCAGTCCACCAACACCATGCAGCTCCCACCTCTGGGCTCCTCCCTCTGCCGCCCCCTCTCCACAGAGCGCCCTTCCTTCTGCCCTCCCTCCTCCTCTTCCCTTTCCATCCAGGCCCTTGCTGCCTCCGGGAGGTCCTCCACACCCCCCTCCTCAGGGTGCCCACCTCCTGCCCCCACGGCCCCCCGGGCATACCCACCCCTGCCTCAGGACAGTCCAGCCTCTGCCTCCCCTACCAGGCCCCCAGCCTCTGAGGGCAGGGATGGTCACCCTCATCCCTGTTCCCCAGGGCCTGGCCACGCGCTGTCCATCAGGCTGCCCGGCTGCACAGCAGACTTTTCTGATGGGAAAATGAAGGCGCAGGGGAGTTCCCGAGCAGCGCAAGGTCACAGGCCCACTACCCGGGGCCGCCTGGAGCCGGGCTGACCCAGG